GCCAGCCATTATGTGAATTAGCTAATAGTTACTGAACTTTTACTAAAGACTGGGTGGTATTCTAACACTCTGAAGTAGACATTATTGTGTCCCCATCAAATTATTTGAAGAAGAGATAACTAGGGGTGGCACCCATAGCTCACTGAGTAGGGTGCCAGCCACATGCACAGGAGTTGGTGGGTTTGAGCCCAGGCCCAGGCCTGCTAAACAACAATGATAACTGCAACCAAAAATAAATAAATAAATAAATAAATAAAACCAGAAAAAAAAAAATAGCTGGGTGTGGTGGTGGGCACCTGTAGTCCCAGCTACTCAGGAGGCTGAGGCATGAGAATTGCTTGAGCCCAGGAGTTTGAGGTTGCTGTGAGCCGTGACGTCATAGCACTCTACTGAGGGTGGCCTTGTGAGACTCTGTCTCAAAAAAAAAAAAAAAAAGAAAAGAAAAGATAACTAAAGCATAAAGAGCCTAAGTGACTGGCCCCAGGGGACCCAGCTCTGTCAGAGTCGTTCCCTGGAGTCGACCTTCTCACCCACTGCACTGTGCTGCTGCCACGATGATCAGACACATGTTTGGAATTCAGAGCTATGTTCATAGTCACTGAAAGCAGCCTTAGCTAGCCCTTCATGCAAGATTTGCATCAACTTCTTGGATTTTATTGCCTATTTCACAGCTCTTTCCCAAAGAAAAGACAGTCTGGGGCGTGTGTGCCTGTGATCACGCAAGGTCTGCACGCTGAATCATTTTCATTCATCTGAGAAATCTATTGTTTTTGTTTAAGGAATCATCCTTATGAAGCCTTCCTTTCATTGTTGAGCTCCAGCAATACAAATAAAAGAGAGAAAACTAACATAAAAATTGCACTCGTTTATGTTAGGTAGTCATTTTTCTTTTTTCTTTTTAAATTTCAGATTAATATGAAGGTACAATTAGGTTACAATATTTGCATTTGTTAGGGAAAGTCCCTGTTGTGGTTGTACCCTCCCTCCCCCCACAGGAGGTGAGGCATATACCCTTACATTTGCCCGTAGATGGGAGCACACTCACCCCTCTCCGTCCTCCCCTCTCCCCCTTCACCTCCCCAACTTGCATTAAATTAAGTTTTCTCTTGTGTGTGCCTGCACTAGGTCATCTGTCTACCGGCTTCATATTGGTGTTGAGTACATTGGGTTTGCTTTTCCATTCTTGTGAGGCTTTACTAAGAAGAATGTGTTCCAATTCTGTCCAGATCAGTATAAAAGATGTAAAGTATTACTTTTTTATGGTTGAATAGTATTCCATGGTATACATATGCCACAGTTTATTAGTCCATTCATGGGTTGATGGGCATTTAGGTTGTTTCCACATCTTGGTGACTATAAATTAAGCTTTGATAAACAGTCTAGTGCAAATGTCTTTATGATAAAATGACTCTTTTTCTTCTGGGTAGATGCCTACTAATGGGATTGCAGGATCAAATGGGAGGTCAATTTTGAGTTCTTTGAGGTTCTCCATATTTCTTTCCAAAGAGTCTGTATTAGTTTGCAGTCCCACCAGCAGTGTAAAAGTGTTCCCTTCTTTCCACATCCATACCAGCATGTGCAGCTTAGAGACTTTGTGATGTGCACCAGTCTCACTGGGGTTAGGTGATATCTCAGGGTGGTTTAGATTTGCATTTCTCTGATGATCAGGGATGAAGAACATTAGCCAATCATTTTTCTTGTAGAAAATCACTTCTACTTTAGTTGAGTAAATTTGAGAAATATATATATTTGAGATGGCAAGTGGCATATATTTAATATATAAGAATAACTGCAACTTATTCTTTGGAATAAGGAATAAATATATATATGAAATGCATTCTCTGAACTGGCATCTAGAATAGCAAGTTTTAAGGAAACAACAAATTTCAAGGAAAAAAGAATATGAGGCAAATCTAATTATTTATTCTTACAATCTGTGAGGGCACCACTGATTAGACAAATTATACATTACCTTCTCATTATTTCCATCTTATATGTGTATTTATCCAGAAGTATGCACTTTTTGTATATGTGTGGGGTTTTTTTGTTTTGTTTAAAGACTACTTTTTCTTTAGTGATCTGAGACTGAACAACATTAAGTGGATTAATTAGGAAATTAGAATCACAAGTCCACTGTCATTATCAACCACAGTAATTCATTCTAACTGAATTTGTTTTGTTTCATTACAATATATGCCTATCAGTAAAAGAGAGAATTTCACTAATATGCAGATGGTATTTCCCAGCAGGGAACTGGTCATTGTCAGTAATAACATGGGCTGTAATCTTGTGATTAATATTGATAATATTAAGCAACAGACTCATGCATTGAACTCTAAAGAATAAATTTGCAGTTATTCTTATATATTAAATATTATATGCCACTTGTCATCTCAAATAACACAATTAAACTTGTCTTAGGATTTCTTAAACTTCTATGAATATACTCAGAAAAGAACCTGGAAAGACTATTAAAAAATTTCTATGTTCATCTTATCAGACTATGATGCTTGCAAATTCTTCATATGTTTAGTGTAGAAAAACTATTTAGTTTTTTAATAGCTGATAGTGATTCCTGTTTTCATGAAAATGGAAGCCAAATCTGTGAGGATTGAACCCCTTTGGAGGGCTTTCTGGTTCTTTTAGAAATTATAAGTAAGCCTATGTTGTCTGGCTATAAAGGTATCACAATATTTTATACACTCTAAGATGCCATCAATTATAAGACAAAACTATTCTTTTGTTGTTGTTGCAGATTTTGGCCAGGGCTGGGCTCGAACCGCCACCCTCTGCATGTGGGCTGGTACTTTGAGCCACAGGCGCTGACCAAGACAAAACATTATTTTACATAACAAAATATTGGTGCTGCTGATTTAACTGCAATTCATGTTTGACCTGAGAGATGTTAAAATGTTAAAAAAAAAAAAAATGTGTGTCTTGGCATTCATGCTCCAGGGTAGTATGTCCCAGTTCACACGACTATTTGGAAAAACATCATTTCATAGGTTGAGTGGTCAGTAGTCGGGTGAGTTGTATGATAAAGCAGAAGTGTAGGAAGACCAGTTCATTTAGTTTCTAGTCACTATTGAAATGAATTTCGCACAAGCTGGCTTTGTCTTCCTCCATCTGGTGTCCCCCCCACCCTCCCCGTCCCCTCTGAGATGCCGGCGTCCTCTGACTCAGTTCTCTACACCGGTGTGGTGGTCGGTGGAGTAAGACAGGGCTGCTTCTTGATGAGAAATTTCTTTTGACCTTATTTTGTAAAAGGATACAGTAATTTACTTAAAAATAATTATTGCTCGAAATGTTTAAAGTGGTTCAAAAAGCAATATTTGTTTTTATTAGCCCATTAAATGTGTGAATGTGGCTTACTTTTATTCCTTATATTTCTAATAAGGAGAAATATAACATTAAAATGGCAAATAATGGAGAAAGAAAACATGTGTTTTCAGAGAAAAAGTTTTATGGGAGACTCTATTGTGCCTATTTTCTGTCTGCTGGAGCTCAGGAACATGTGGGCTTGACCAGTCTGGAGGGAAGCCGGCTCCTGTAGTGGCATCTCTCCGGCATTTGATGAAGTCTAGGCCTTGTGCTGGTATTTCCAAAGCACTCAGGCGATTTTTCCTCACACTGTACACAGGACATTTTTGGAGCCCATTTTCCCACCAAGAGATGAAAAGTGCAGGAAAATAGGAGAAACCTAAATGCTATTTTTTAAAAAGGAATGCACTGTAATTCCTATAATGTGAGCGTGTTTACTAATGTGTTTTTAAATTATGTGCCATGTAAGAAGACTAGAAATTACCAATGACAATCCTCTTTTTTTATCTACTTATTTTTGATATCAAAATTTTAAAATCTGTTTCCCCCTCCCTTTTTTTACTCATATCTTCTGTTGATGCTTATCTGTGGGAATTTTATAATAATTTGCTTAGGACCATACGAAATAAACTCACAAAAAATGTGTGTGTGTATAAAACAGATCCACGCAAATCCAGACCTGAATTATTTCCAGGCATTTGAAGCCTGTTGTCGATGATCTCAGCCTGTACTCGACCTGAACAGGCTAAGTCACTCGGGCACAGGAGTGAGACAGCTCCTGGTGAACGGCTTCTGTCACCAAGAAAGTCAGAGCTTTCTCTGACAACCCACAGGTGCATGGCGGGGCATCCAGGGATGCTCCGGCCAGAGACTACAGGAGCTTTGCCAGTTCTAGGAATGATCTCTGTGAAAATGGAAGCATATCCTTAAAGATGAACATATTCTGTTCAAGTATCAAGCTTTAATAATTTATTCAAATATCTGAATGTTAGCATTCTCTCAAAAATAGTCCAGTTTCAAATTCATTAGCCTGGCTTCGTTCTCCTAGGTGTTCCTGAACTTTCTTTTAAAATGGTTTGGAGTTGGGTACAGTGACTCCCACCTGTAATCCCAGCACTTCAGAAGGCTGAGGTGGGAGGATCGATTGAGGTCAGGAGTTCATGACAACATAGTGAGTCTGGGCAATACCCTGAGATCTCATCTCTACAAAAAATAAAAAACCTAGCTGGCTGTGGTCACCTACAGTTTTAGCTACTTGGGAACCAGGAGGATTGCTTGAGCTGCAATGAGCTGGGATCACAGTGCTGCACTCTAGCCTGGGTGTCACAAGCCCACACTGGAATCCCGGCGTGTCCAACCCTGTGTGGAGACAGGGCAGCACTGCTTCTCATTTCATCTGGCACACCCCACCCTCTCAGGTAACCAAGGCAACAGGCCACACATGGGGAGGCACCTGGCATGCAGAGCTCACAGAGGCCACAAATTACTTCCCTTGGGATCTACTGAGTGAGGTATTGAGAGAAATGAAATCATGGGCCTTGCAGGTTTGGTGTGGCCCTCAGGGCCAGGACAGGGGTGGACACCTAGGCACTGACATGAGTAGCCCCACAGACGCGTGATGCACATGGGACGTCAGGGACGTTTCCATGCTGTTGGGGTCGCCGAGGGAGGAGCCTTACCCGGGCCTTCTGCTCCATTTCCAGCATTAACCTCTCATGCTGCTCTGCTATGGCCAGTGTCGCAGAATGGACCTTCTGATAGATCATTTCGCCTTCCCTTGTTTGAAAAGTGAATAGTCCTTCTCCTGTGTCACACATTCTGTGAGAACAGAGACAGGGAGAGAGATGGGTCTTCATGTGTTACAGTTTCCCGTGTCTAAGATGCCCTTGCCCCTGTGTTATTAACTTTCACGGAAGTTAGTGAAGCAGATGCCTCCTTGACCAAACCAACCAAAAATCGCTTCTTTACATGGCACGTGAGAAGGGAACAAAGGGAGAAAACTCGTGTATATTTGGAATTGAAAAGATGAGGTGTTCACAACAGATAAAAAGTGATCCAGGCATTGGCAGTGCATGCCTTAACACTATTTAAAGAACAAAAGCCAAGAATTAATGGCTTTAAGGATTTTCAAGTTTGTGGTGTTGATAGTTCCTTTGAGTTGACAGTTCCTGGAATTTAAAGAACTTCAGAAAAATCTGCAATTTTATACTCAACAGAACCAAAGGGAAGACTATACATTTTTAATACATTTTTGGTTTATACATTTTTTAGCTTAAAGATTTGCATACATAGGCTGCATCTTTTATTTAAATTGAGCAATTCTTACATAAATCTTGGTATAGCTTGGGCAAAGCATAGTATAAAGGAGACTCAGTTTGAATATGAAAATATTAGGGTCAAACTTTGTCTCTGCCACTTACCAGCACTGTGACCTTGGGCAAGTTGTCTAACTTAACTATACCCACTTTCCACACCTCTAAAAAAGAAATCATAATAGGACCCATCTCATAAGATTGTTATAGAGGTTAAAAGAGTTGACATAAAAAAATATATTTATAGCACTGCTTAACACTTATTAAGTGCTCAAAAATATTAGCTATTACTAACTTCATCATAGAGAAATTTGTAACTAAATACCTGCCACAGAGAAATGGCTGGCTAATTTATAGTGCTTTATTTGCTGTGTGATACAGACTGTTAGGCTATTATGATACAATATTATGGACAAGCTATCGTCAGGTATTACTTTGTCATTTCTGGGAGCCTATAACATTAAGATTCTTACGGAAATGCTGGAAAACATCAGAATACAAATTCTTTTTCAATTATCTAATTATAATTATCTTTTTAAAATTTTCATTGGAAAAAACTCACTGACATGTTGTTTGGCAATAGTACTAAAGGTATTATTAACGAAGTAATTCTGAGATGGTAACATATTTTACATTAGTACATTAAGCCAGCTTTTGAAAATAATTGAAGGACTTCAGAGAGACCCTCCCAGGCCCTCCCAATCTGATGTTAACACTCCTATGTTGGATATTATCTGGATTTCTGTGCTGTTGGTTTTCAGGTTAGAACATCAAAATATTCATGAGGACAAACTATTTCTTCAAGCACCAAAAAGATTTGAGATTCTTGTCTACGATTCTCCAAGGAATTTTTAGTAGAAAGGAAATGTCTCAGGAGGCTTCAGACATTATAGAAGCTGCAACTACAATCCCTTAGGGCCTCATAGAGCCAGCACTTAGCTTTTCCAAAAGAGATCTTAATAAAATTCACACAGCGTGAAATGGAAAGTCTGGGGGAAAAATGAAGAGTTTTCACAAAGTGAAACAAATGAGCTTTCTTTGTTGATTCAGAGGAGTAAGGAAACCCAACAGCAGCAGCAAACCATTGATAAGTGGTGGGTGCTTCTTGCTTAAAGTTGAGTTTTGTTCATTGTTCTCTGAAAATGCTCTTTTTGCCTTTGGAAATGAGATAATGAAGACACAAACTGTTATCTCACCTTCAGTCACTGAGATGAAAAGCTTAAGGCCTGTGCATTTGGGGGGACTTAATTCTGCCGTGTGTGTGTGTGTGTGCGTGCGCGCGCGTGTGCGTGTGTGTGTGTGTGTGTGTGTGTGTGAGGGAGAGTTTGAATCCTGGCAGGAAGTCTCTGAAATAAAAACTACTGGGAACTTAATCCTTCAATCAAGAAATAAGCCACTTAAAATTTTAACATAACAAGTGAAGAGACTTTAAGTAGACGATGCAGAGACTCTTCCTATCTATCTAAACTTGTCTGTCTTCGTGGCAGTAGCCAGTGCCCGAGAAGACAGTGAGGAGAAAGGTGAGATGATTTCGGTGGCTTTTGACTTGGTCCTCCAGGCATCGTCCACAGACCACAGCATCTGCCTTACTGGGAGTGGGTCCCCAGGGCCATGTCTGAATCAGCATTTTAACAAGTCCCCAGGTGATTCATATGCGTGTAATATAAGGTGACCAGATTTTAACATTGGTAAAGTGGGATACCATTGTGGGGGCGGGGCCCGACAACAATGTGAACTTTGATAAGCAGCTCTTGATAATCAGTTCTCAACAATTATCTGTTATTATTAAAGTTTAACATTATAAAATTAACAAAAATAATAAAAAACTCATATCCTGGTGAAATAGCCACATGGCAGCTGAAAACCGCATATTTCCTTCCTATTCTCCCATGTTCCCTAGCTTGTTGTGCATTCTTTCCAAGAATTGGGGCTTTTTAAAAATGCTGCAGGACACAGAACAAATTGTTAAAAATCCGGACTGTCCTGCCAAAAGCTGGACGGCTGGTCACCTTGGGGGGGGGGCTACTTGTTTGTTTCAGACACTTTGGCTACTTCTGAGCTAATTGTCCTTGCCTAGAAGCAAGGGAGGGAACCAGTCTCCTTCTGATACCTTGCCCAGGAGGGGAGTAGGGAGTTTACATTAGCCTTTTCATTTCCAAATGAAGTTACATTAACCTCTTCATTCCCAAATGGAATTACATTAACCTTCTCAGTAGCTGAAAACCTTATATTCCCTTCCCATTCTCCTGCTGTTCCCTAGCTTGTCATGCATTCTTTCCAAAAAATCGGGACTTTTTAAAAATGCCACAGGATGCAGGACAAATTGTTAAGAATCAGGACTGTCCCGCCAAATTGGGACGTCTGGTCACCTTAGTGTAACAGTTTAAGACTCACTGGCCTCCAGCACTACTCCCTCCTCTGGTCAGCATTTCATTACAGAGGAGTGGAGAATGGCATGTGGGACCCAAATGAGGACACATTAGAAGCTGTATTTGTCCAGCTTTGCTGGACTATGACCTATAAAACTGAAGCTTAGAAAGGAAGAGGCAAACAGCCCAAGGAATTCTTAACTTGGGAAGAGCAAAAACAAAAGTATTAGTTACACTTGGGCCACCAACATACACATCCCTCAACTGTTCATTGTGTCAAAAGTGAAAACAGAAATGATGTATGTTTGTCGTGATTCCAAACCAGAATTCTACTGGTATCTGTACACACTTACAGATGTCTTTGCTCTTCATACACAATGTATTTGTACACATTTAATATCTTTTTCTTATCTAGAATAAAATGATGAAGAGTATAATCTCTGAGGGTTCTTTCAATGCTGAGGAATAATAGTCTAGGGCCTGATAAACATTCTGAGACGTAAATAGGACTTACCTACCAATTGTCAAGGTTTTTGTTTTTGACAGTGAAATATAAGGGACATGATATCAGTATAAGGCTCACAAGACTAGGTCATAAATTTCTGCTGTCACGCCACAGCCTCCTATAAAAACGTATCCCATAGTTTTCAAGTAGGTACATAATAAGCCGGGCACTGTCCTGGGTGCGGGATGGGTATGAGGAAATGACATATGACCCCTTGCCTTTGAGGCTTTTCAAGTAGTGGGAGAAAAGCATTTCCAAAGAATTCCATTATTTTTAGGCAACGGGACAACAAGGTTTTAGGCACAGGTATGTTTCATTTGCTCACTTCTGTTTTTCATTTTTAATGAAACGATGTAATGTTATGTAACAGTGGCCAGGAAAGGATTAACTTAGCCAGTCTGTGTTTCTCAAACCCTGCACATTCCAAAGAATTGTTTTCAGGATAAATCCTTTGCTCATCTCTGGGGTAGGACCTCGGAGCTTTTGGAATATTTGGCCTCTTTCTGTAAGTCACCAGTTTGACCAGATAAATTTATTCCAACAATGTGACAGGGGCGAATGCCTATTTTTGCTGTGATGGAGGCTGGAGTCTTAAATAACAGAGGTCAGTCCCAGGATGCAGCTGCCTACACAATTGACCCCCAGTCGAAACCTCACACAGGTGCTGACCTGCTGCACCTGCTGTCCCGTCACCACTGCTGCAGGGAGAGTGATGCTGTCCTCACGCGCCATCAGTGAGGGGGACCTGGAGGCCTGCGGCAGGTCTTCGTCCTGGGCCTTCTCCCTTTGCTGCCTTAAATGTGCATCTCTCTCCGTACTGAACCCTACTGTGCATATAATATGTATTTTCCTGAGTCTTACAAGCCTTTTAGAGGCTCGCTGATCCTGAGGCTGGTCTCAAGAACTCCTTTGTCCATGACAAAGTGTGTCAATTTACTCAATTACCAGAGTGTGGTAAATTGACAAGATAGTTAAATATAGTAGGAATCTAAAAATCCTGCTCTTCTCTAAATGGCTGTTTTCACATTACTTTCCTTAGGAAATCTAAGACAGTATCTTCTTTTTTTTTTTTTTTTTTTTTTTTTTGCAGAGACAGAGTCTCACTTTGTCACCCTCGGTAGAGTGCTATGGCATCACAGCTCACAGCAACCTCCAACTCCTGGGCATAGGCGATTCTCTTGCCTCAGCCTCCCGAGTAGCTGGGACTACAGGCCCCAACCATAGTGCCCGGCTATTTTTTTGTTGTTGCAGTTTGGCTGGGGCTGGGTTTGAACCCAACACCCTCGGTATATGGGGCCAGGTACATGCCCTGCTCACTGAGCCACAGGTGACCCCTAAGAGAGTATCTTCTTTATCTCACTTCACCACTCACATCCAGAATCACTCGAAAGAACAGCACTGCTGGTCTTGTCTCTGCCGTGTTCTGATGAACAATGCAGAGCCCGCGGTCGTGGGGATGAGGCATTCGGAGTAACTGAGCTTCACCAAGGTACCTCTCTATGCATGGCTCACAGAGATTTCTTCCAGGGGAGAAACAGCCCTAACATATGGTGTCCCTGAGGAACCTTCCTGAGAAGAGACCCTCCTGCCTGTCACTATTAGACCACTTGGCTCTATGGACAGACTTCCAAG